GGGTCTAATACAATGGCATTGCTAAGTGCTCAACTCTTGTGCAGTTCTCAGGCTCAGATGATAGTATGGCATTAGGATGCTATTAGGCGGCGAGCTATCTGAAGACATAAAAGACTTTTCTGCTTCACATCCCTTGAGGTTCCGTTACTCCACAAGCTGCAAGTTGGCTTTCTTTTGTGTTGTGATTGGCCGTCAGGATATAAACACGCAGACTTCATTTGCACATTTGACTATGTAGGTGTAACAGCTTCCAAGACATTTGTCTCCAGAGGAATGAGGTTTTATCACCTAATAACTATGAAGCTGGCGTGTTGTATAATGTGGCTGTAAGTTGGGATGGAGGGGAGTTCAAACTAGTGGTTTGTTCACTACTTCAAATGTTCTGTTCGCATTTACTGGGAAGTGCAGGACATGGAGGGAGCCATTCTTTGCCTTGTTGTTCCTTGCCTGGTGTAGTTTTCTCATTTTTTTAAAAAAATCCCTCCATTGTCTTCCAGTGAAGGTTAGGATTAATTGTGCCAGCTCCAGGTTCACATAGAGGAGAGGAAATGATTTTACATGGGGGCCAGTGGAGTCAGGATTGCTCCATATCACACTATATTCAATTCCAGGACTCTCCACAGTACAGACTCTCCTAATACTGGCTCCTGATCTATTTCTACCTTGTCAAGGAAAATTACAGGCCTGAGCAGAATGGAGTGTATTAATGAGAATCCATAATGATCAGGTGTGTTAAAGCTGAGTCAGAATGACTCAGCAGAGCTGATGCAACTCAGGGATGATGCAACTCAGGGATGATGCAATGTGTGATCTGATTGGTCCTGTATATGTATATATGTGTGAATTGTACAGTCAGTTGTATCTTCTTCCTGCTTGAAGATCACTTCTACATGTTATGCTGCCAGACTACAGTAAATACTGCTGTTGCTGAAGGAAATGCTGCTGGACTGTGTGTGAGTTATTTCTGGACTGCCTGGACTGCGAATCACTCTGCTAAAACTGGTATTTGTGTTAAGAAACACTGACATACCTGTGGTCCATTCCACAGACATATCATCAGCCTCTCCTCCACTGTCACAACAAGGCAATTGGGAGACCATGACCTCTGTCTTGTGTGTCCACCCCAGTCCTTCTGCCACCACTATTTCTGATAGCAGAGTTGGGAAACAGATGTTTATTTACATCTGAAGAGATAATACCTGTACCGCCTTAGCAGTGGGAGTTGTTTCTGATCTGTGAGTCAGATTGACCACAACTGATTCATCGTGAAACTGCCCTCAAAATAAAGCATAATTTAACTGTAGGGAAGTAAGAGGGTAGAGAACAAAACAAAACCTTCTCTAAAATTGTTTAATACAAACCCCAAGAGGTTAGCAGCAGCCCTCAGAAATATTTTAATATATTGCAATTTCCTGGTTTGTTTCTAGGAAACTAGAATAATTAACTGTACACTTGGAGTTTTTAAACTAAAAATATTAAACCTCTCTGAGGTTCACATAGTTAAATTTTGAGAAACTAACTACGCTTTATCCTTTCCATCCTTATTTTTTTTTCCAATGCCATTCTTATATTCCAGCAAGGAATCTGTGAACTTTCAAGTGCAGATGTTGGTATTACTATTTTTGTATTTTAAATTTTCAAAGGAGTAGCTATCTTTGTTGCAGCAAAGACTCCCATGTACCCTAAAGTCTAAGATTTTTAAAAAAAGAATAGGTTGAGGTTGAGGCAACGAGGCAGTCCCGAAACCAGCAAAGTCAGGGGGGTGGACAGGGGACAGATTGTATTTGTCCTCAGTGTGGAAGGGATGGTCACTCTTGAATTGGCCTCCTCAGCCACACTAGATGCTGTTCCAAGTCCTCCATGCAGAGCACGTTACCATAGTCTCTCTCGAGACTGAAGGATGGCTACTATGTTTTTGAATACATGAAGAATCATTCAGAATGGTGTGTGTGTGTGTGTGTGTGTGTGTGTGTGTGTGTGTGTGTGTGTGTGTTTGACAGTAATACTGTAATTGCATAATTAGCATTTCCCACATAAACATCCCAGCACAAGAGTTAATAATTATTATTGTTAACCTTAATTGAAGAGGTGCAGGAGAAATGTAGGGAATGACAGCCACTCTTTCTGGCCTTCATAGATAAATAAATTAAATTAAAT